GAGGTAAACAATTGACGTCACGTGTCGGAGACCGGTTGCAAAGAATCCCACACAGAGAACAGCATAGTTCACAAGTGTAAAGAAAAAATACAAATAAAAGTCTGTCTCACGCTGGAATGTAATTTCTCCTCTTGAACGATAAGCTATAAATGAAAACCTGTAGCTTGGACGATAAAGTCCGCCCACTTTATAAATTCCTGAATGTAAAAATAAATCCATTAATAAGGCCTGTCATTCAGAATGCACATGTGTAAGCAGCACATTTTCAAGAAAAACTGACTGCAAACAGAACAATTGGGCTTCTCATCCTTCCAACTATTCCCACTTTATTTTTTAATTGACATAAAGTTATTTTCTTGTTATTAGATTCAATGCTCTCATGTTTCCTTTATTCTCCTGTCTGTACACAAATACAAGTCTCTACTGCGGTGTTGTTTTTTTTTTTTTAGTGGGTCCCAAAACTTTGTCCCGTATGATGAACTGTATCAGGTCACACTAACCATGGTTTGAGGAAAGAAACACCTTTATTTTTATTGCTATTGTGTTCAGTCTGTTTATAATATCCAGTTAGGAGACCATAACGGGCTGCTGCTGAGCTGGTTTTACTGCCCCATATGTAAAAAGGGGTAAAATGTATTTATTTAGACGCATTGCAGCTAATAGAATCTGAACCACCTGTTGATGCGGAAACTTTACTTTTTCTGTTTTCACAGTAGAATTTAAATCCCAGAGTTAGCAGCTACCGCTATGGTGTAGGTATGAGTCGCCATGACTGCACGATGTTTTGTCTTGTAAAAAAATGCAGATAATCTTAAACGAAGAGCTAGATTAATTTGTGACAGGGTCCACAGCACAGCTATTTGGAGAGATTAGTTGGCTGCGTGGTTGCCCTCAAAATACCGAAAATGTAAACAAACAGGTCAGAATAAAGGTTATAATTTATCCTGGCCTAATATCTATCCAACACACGTCTGTTGTCTGTGGATAATGTGAAATATTATGAGTAATTTAAGTTTGGGGATCAAATAAATGCATCGTGAGGATCTGAAAGCGTCAGAATCTGCAGAGTGTCACAGATTAACTTGTGATCCAGCGGATCTGGAGGAATATGGGCTGTAAAACCCTCCATCTCCTGGGATGTTTGGATGTTATTTTATCCTCAGTTAGGGTTGTAGCAGGCTACTTTAAATTTTTAACTGTTATTGTTGATTATTTTTCTTACCACAATTACGAACCTGTCATGATGTGTGACCATGTTCACACAGTCAGCTATCATCTTATTCCCTTCTATTGTTTTGAGGACGCCACATTATTTGTTTTGCATGCAGAACAACTTTAAATCATTCTCGTTTTTCAAGTTACTGGCAATAGAGTATTGCTTTGTCTACTTTTACTATTAGTCTAAATTGTTTGCTTCACTGGTGCAATTAGAATGACAGAAAAGCAACTCAGCACAAAACGTTGATTGTGAGGAAATGTTTGTCATTTCAGAGTAAGGAGATAATATTATCTTGCCCATCTGTGGAAAAAAAAACGAAGGCATAAAAGTATCTGTGGAGACGAACCTGCAGCCGACCTTGTTTTTATCTGCAAGGCGTGTCTTTACCTGCTGAGCTGTTGATACGAACACCCCCTCTGACCCCACCTGCGATAATGAACCTGTTGATTGTGTCTGCTCTGCCTGTTGAAGAACTGGTCTAGATCAACTGGTGACAGTTAATGTTTCAGAGTCCGCTGATCGCTTAAAACATGTCTGAATTCCAGAATATCAGATATTATTACTATTTTTTCCTTCTTTACTCTTAGAATAGAATGGGGCCTCCCCCGTTAAGAGATAGTTAGACAGTAAGTAATGCAGCGTAGCTATTAAAAGAGAAAATAATAACCGGATCTTTTTTTCTATCAGATATCTACCGTAAAATCTCCCTGTTTTATTTATTGATTGTTTGGCAGCAGTTAGCCTGGAGGCTCTGCTGCTTCTTTTAATGCTTTAGT